GTTAAGGAAGTTTCATCTCTCCAGGAGTCCCCTCTATTGTCAAAGAATCAGGCAACATGGGGTTCCAGCAGTCATCAATTGGACCTCCAGCAGCTGTCCACTTCCCATCGTACCAGAGGACCCTCTCTATTGCCATCTTCCCACCACCCTAATAACAGGACGCCCTTCTAAGTTTATAAACTACACAAAGGGAAACAGATTTTATTTTATTTTCAAGCAAAAGGCAATAAATCCAATTCAGAAGAAGAAGAAACTTTTTCAGCCCTTTCGATCCTCACAGCACAGCTGAGTTCGTGCGAAACTAGATATCGTGTCTACCTCCAAGACCTTGATCGATGTGACCGTGAACCCGGTTGTCCAGGATGAGGGACACCAGGCGGTCCTGTTTTACACAATGGCAGCGTACCTTCGAGATAAATGGTGATGCAAGGCTTAGTTTCAATAGTACTCGTGTCCAGATGTTCTTCAGCACCTCGATGTAATTCCGAGAATGTATGGTTGTCGTCCCATCAAAACTCTCATCATTGTATTGTTTTGATGGTCATCCATTATCGTTTTTCCCATTGGCCTGCCAGATAAAATCAAATAAATTCGGACTGGATCTTCTCAAACTCGAACGCTGGTACGGTTTGTCATCACCAGAATTTCAGGGTCGTTCTTATACCTGACAGGAGCACACAATTGAAGTATGTGATGAAATGATATATTACAATTTAAATTCTTGAGCGTAGGAGTTACCTTGAGACTCCATCAAGAACCAAATACCTGTGACAAAGACAAAGAAGAAAACATGTTAGACCACCCCTGAACTCTTGTAACATCACTCACTTCAAGCCTTGGATCCATCAGTCATTCACTAGCATGCTTTGCGATCCATACGATCTGCCGCCTGGCAGCAAAATCGACACAGATATTTTATGCGTACCTGAAACATGCCAGCCAGATCCATAGCCATCTTCTCATCAGCATCCGAAGGATACATACCAGCACGTGTATTCATGACCGAGAAGCAATCGCCAAACGCAGGTTGAAAGATAGAAACCGCTTTGGTGGTGTAATGCGGTATGTCCAATGAGGCTGCCCAAAAGTTTCGATCTGTATGAAAGGACGTGAAAAAATTTCTGTAGCGGACCTTCTCAAAACAGCTTGCTCTTCAACATTCGACATGAAGATAGAATACACAGCGAAGGATCCAGCTTTTTCATAATGAGCGCACCTGCAGGCTAAATGATTAGAGAACATGTAAATGCGTCATTACCTTGCAGGATGACTTCGATTTATAGCCCACGGTTCCACCAGGAACTGGTTTCTTGCATGATCCACGCCTTGTGATCGACAATGGCGATGAGGCTTTTGGATGTTTTCTTCGTGAAAAAACGTCAGGAGATGATGTGACACTGCTGGCCCGCTACGCACTCTGATGCTGTCTTCGCCAACAACAATAGACCTCAACAGTTTCCGAGGCTTGCTGTCTGCAGGGAAGTTCGGACATTCCTTCGTTGTCACCATGGACTGTTCGGCCACCACCTTTCGGCGCCGTTTCTTAGTTCTTTCTCTTGTAATTCCACGCATTGTCTAAGTGTTCAGGAGCAAACGCGATGGATAGATGTGGTGTGCTAAATGTGTTCCGCTTTTTCACTGATGGCGCTGGTAGCGAGGAAGCAAACGTGGAAACGATTTGTTGCTCTCTCCGCTTTTCATTTTCGAGAAGAATCGGCGCAAATTTCAGCTGGCACTTCGATGCCGGCCGCTACGTTCATCACTTGACTCACAAGCCAGCAAAACAACGCACTATTTTGCAGTTCGCTTCTTCAGGTCTCAAAACGATTGCAACTGAAGGACCTGTGAAGTTCCTCTGAGAAAAATTAGTTGCAGATGTAATACACCCACCTGGATTTCCATTTCAACAGAGCTCACGGCCGGGTGAAATTTCTTTGCTGATGCAAGGCTCTTCTCTATTTTTCTCATCAATCTTCCGTCTCAAGATAGTCGGCACCAATAGAAAGCAATAACATCGACAATATCCCTGCTCGAGAACAAACAGGGAACTGTCAGCACAAGTCTTAACAATCGCATGTACAGTCCTAATTGTACATCCTGCAATAAATCAAAATGATCTGTCAGTTACGATGATACAGTTTCACATAACAGTTACCTTCAAATGGATTTAGTTCCTTGCGTCTGTCAGATTCGCCAACAGGAAGTTACACATCGGATTGAAAGCGAACTCTGCAGCTTTCTCGTGGGTCTTTGCTCCAGAGGGCACCTGTTTTATCGGGCTTCTTTCTGTCGCCAGCTTGTCTTCTGAGACCCAATTAATGCAGTTGCTCTCAAGGAAATTCAATTTCCGACGAGAAAGCACCTACGAACGAGCTTAACACGTTATATGTCTCACATAAAAGAACTCTTACTTGCAAAGAATCGCTTGGAATCTCTGAATTACAGAATGCGAAACATCTCAGTCGCTGGACAGCTTCCCAATCTTCAGGAAGGACGACATGTCTGCGGCTTAACAGATCGAGTGCGAGCTTTCCTCCAGAGCCGTGAGCAACGACAGCGAGCACCGTGCCAGGGAAAGTTGTGAAGACGAAGTCCCATGCACATAGAACGTGCTCAAGCGAAATGTCGGCACTTGCAGCTTGCTGCAATGCTCTTTGTCAGTCCCACAAAAAACAAAGAAAACACAAGATGGAATGGTTTGCACCTTTCGCTCGTTGAACGCCACCTCGCTTGGATTTAGAAGAACCACTGCCATCCCAAGCCCGTGAGCCCATTCTGATTGGAAAATGTAAGAACTTGAATTTGAGAATTCATGCATTACCAAGAAATGCCAATACTGTAAGAAGGGAGTCCTAGCAAAACAACACATAAAGCTTAGACACATTGTATTGCACTTGCTATTTACCTTGACATGGATTTTCTTCAACCATAAGCCATCACAGAGAAGTAAAACAATCGCCTTTGCTGACTTGACATTCGAAGACACGACTATTGTGCTTGTCTGGGCAACCAAGTCATGAAAATTTCAATTCATCATGCTAGTTACTTACCTGACGTGATGTATTCCTTTTGAGCTCCAGCGTTTTCAACGTCATATCATAACTCTCCAGAAGCAGCTCCTGGACATAAGCCACGACTGCAGCACTCACTACCTCATGTGCAGCAAGGTCCTGGCAATACGAGTTGAAAGCAAGCAAGTAAAAGAAGATATTGCTAAACCTGCTTATCTGTAGTTGCGCCAAGTAATAGCTTGTCTGTGAGTGGAAAGGACTCAAAGTTTTAGAGACTAGCAAGAAATGCTGGATTCATTACCTTGATCGCCTGCCAAGTTTTGGAGCTGAAGATCCGTGTCGAAAAAGAGGCCGAGTTGATGGAGTTGAGCTGCATCACTAACGCTCTTTCTCTTTGAAACTCGACGTGTCACCTCCTTCAGCCAGTCAGGCCCTGGTAATATCGATCAAACTGGCTAAGATCCGATAAAGAAAGAAAGCGCTCACCAGTGTCATGCTCCAGTGGATGATCTTTGTTCACAGCTATGCAAACGCAGTGTAGCAGGAAGAACTAGGATCAAACACGAACGAGACAACAGCGGATACCGGATTCCTGCGAAAATGGGAAAGAATCGTCGAAGAGGAGCCGAAATATCTCGCAACACGTCCGATATCGGCTCCATCCCCGCCACAGCGCAACGACGACGCCTGGAACTGCCGATCCTCGAGCGCGGGCGCCCAACCCTGCAAGGCGATTCCAGAAAATCGCGACGGAGGAGCGGCATTACCATCTGACAACCCCGCGCCCATCGTCTCCCTCGCAAATGCCGCAATGCAAGAACGCTAGGGTTTATCTCTTCGTCTCATAAGCCCGCGTCCCAGCTCTCCATACAAATGCCCCTTCTGGGCATTTCTTTTAACGAGGCCTTACTAATGCCCATCCGAGGCATATGCTGCATAGTCGTTATACCGAGCTCTCGTCGGGGAGATCGCGAGCAAAGTAGCTCATCCATACTCTTGTGCATCGAATGAAGGAGTGCTATAATCATACATCCTGTCCAAGAAAAACAATCCAAGAAGAAATGTTCAAGAGAGCATCTGGAGTAAACCCATTAACTTGCCTAGCAAAAGGCCCAGCGCTCCCCAATCCAGAATCGCCGCAAATGTGATCCCGATCCATCGCCCAGCATCGATCATCCTCTGGAAGCACTCCATCGCGTGGAGCCATTCCAAATCATCAATCGAAAGCCCTCTACTCTCTGGCAATCTATGCCTTGTAGAAACACCTTTAACGCATTAAATCAGGAATCTCAAAATTTTCTTTCGCGAATATACACACTGAGCTACAAAGGCCAAAAGAGAAGAAAAAGAAGAAGAAGAAACTCCGACCTGGCGTGGATGTTGCTAAATGCGTTACAAAAAATCCTCTCGCTCTCAGCCGATCCTGTTGGAGACGGTCTGGCACAGAGATCTCAGCTGCGTGTTCCATTTGTCGATCGCGGTGTATTTTTTCAGCCCTTTCGATCTGAGCAGCACACCGTTTAGTTCGAACGAAACTAACTAGAATCTATCGTCCAGAGTTACCTGTCACCGAGCTCCAGGAGCTGATGAACTTGATCTATGTGACCGTGAACCCGGTTGTCCAGGATGAGAGACACCAAGAGCTGCTCCACATCTCTTTCCGGAATGTTGAGCTCCTGTTTTACACAAGAGAGTTGAATGGCAGCGGATAGAATTTGCACAAAACCGACCTTCGAGATAAATGGAATGCGGATCCGGGTGTAAGGCTTGATGAGCTTTAATAGTACTTGTGTCCGGATGTTCTTCAGCAAGTCCTCGATGTAATTCCGAATGAACGGGTCGTCCATTATCGTTTTCCGGTTGCTCTGCCAGATAAAATCAAATAAAATCAATCCTCGCCCGGCTCAGACTGCCAACTTAACAGCTTTACCTTCAGGATCTTCTCAAACTCGAAAATTTCGTTGCGCTGGTAAGCTGCGACAAGGTTTGTCATCGCTAGAATTTCAGGGTCGTTCTTATACCTGGGAGGACAGAAAAACAAAGCACAGAATTGAGGAATGTGGACAAAATGATACATACGGTTTTGCTTCTTGTGCGTCGAAGGGGTTAACCTGAGACTCCATCAGCATATTTGCAAGAACCAAATACCTGTTACAAAGAAGAAAACATGTTAGACCGGACTTTTGTAAAAGCCACTCACTTCAAGCATTGGATCCGTCTTTGTGCTCCGGCTTCGTCATAGTTCTTGAAGGCCTCGAAAAAGTCAGTGGCTGCGTCTGCCCAGTGCCTCTCAGCCATATGCATCTTTCCGCCGCACTCGTGGATGATTCCCATGATGCGTGGATGAGGAATCGCCGATTTGATAGACAAAGCTTTTTGATAGAGTTGCTGAGGCCGAGGTTCAGCAAAATATCATAAAAAGAACTGCATAGATACCTTTAGCTTCTTGTTGTTCTTTGTCTCCGTGTACATCTGAATCTCAATGGCGTATACTTCCAGAAGCTGAGTTCCTTTCTTCTGATCATCAGAGCCATCTTCTCTCTGGCACGATCTGTGGAGCTCTTTCAAAATCTATGCAGCGAAAGGAGGGCCAGAAAATTAAAAAAAATCACCCAGGCTAATATTACCTTGCTCATGCGTGCATACTCTCCCATGTCGAACCAAAGCTTGCAAAGTTTGAGATTCGCTTTAAACCACAACCTCTGCACAAATCACTATTAGCAAGAAACACGAGCCACCGGCACAACCTCATTCTTGGCATCCTCGAGAGCTTTGAGCGTTGTCTGGTAAAACTCTTGCAGCAGCTCCAGGTTTTGGTTTGCAGTGCCGGAGACAAAATCCATGATGTTGTTGATGCATTTCTCGCTGTAGTTCCGGGTAACCGCGGACTTGATGTACGTCAGCATCTCCCTATAGGCGTCCATCATCTCCTTGTAGGTCCCCAATCGAAAATGCACCTTCACGGTCTGCTTCAAAGCCTTGAATCCCCTGCGTGGTGTTTCTTTGAGAAAAGAAAGAGAAAAGCTCGTTTACCATTCTCCTTTCTCTTCTTCCATCTTCACGACCTCCGCAAAGCCCTTGAGAGCTCCTCGAGGATCAGCCTCCACAAATCCTGCCGATACCATTGTTTTCTTTCACAGAAAAGAAAATCGCTACCTTTAGAGTTGTAGTACTGATTCTCGATATCGACATCTTGCTCCTCGGGGTCTTCTTCCGAGTACTCAAAGCCATAATCTTCCATGTCCGCGTCTATACACCACGAAACCAAGCAAGAATTACTGAGGATCCATGCAATGCCAAGCGCGGGAGCAAGAAATCGCGCCCTAGTGAGCGCTGCGCTACGAAGAGAGCTTACCGGAATCCATGGCGCCTCCGGAGAGCGGCGATGCGCCAAGCGTCCTCGCGACGAGCTGAGCGCCTCCCCTAACGCTACAAAAGAATATAAATCCTTAGAACCCTAAAAAAACACCCCAAAGGAGGATGAAGAAGGGAGGATGATTTCGATCGCGCGGCTCCTCCGCCGGGGCAATGCGGTCTCTTCCGGGCTTCACACCACCGCCAGATTCTACTCCCTAGAATCTCCGCGCGGCCGCTTGGATCCCTTGCACTTGCCGGACAGCTTCTTGGGGCTGGAGGAGCGGCCAGTGGAGATCGACAAGGAGGTATTCCAGCAGTACAAGTGCTATCCATCGATCGCAGATGTGGGATTCATCAAGCACATGACGCTGGTGCTCCGCGGCGGCGCGATCACCTGGTGGGAGGCGGCGGGGATTCTCAAGAAATTCGAGGTAAAGCTCCAGGCCTTCCACATTTGCGAGATTTTGCGCAAGAACATCGATGCCGACGCTGCCATGGGGCTGTTTCGCTGGGCGCAAGCACAGCCAGGCTTCCAGCACGACACCAATTCCTACAATCTCATGCTCAAGACGCTTGGCCTCAACCAGCGATTCCGGCAGCTCAATCTCCTTCTCAAGGAGATGATGGCCAGTAACACCCAGAGAACTTACGTGACATTCATGGCGGTGGTCCAGAGCTACTTCGATGCCTTCATGGTGGACAAGGCCGTCCAGAGCTTCCTCGAGTTTGAGAGCTACGTGAAGCGCAAGCCCAAGAAGAAGTACTACCTCTACGTGCTCAAGAAGCTCATCGAGTGTCAGAGAAGTGATGTTCTTCCAGTGATCGTGCGAGGGATGCTCCAAGTTGGTCACGTAGCCGACACCGAGACTGTCAATGCCGTGATCCATGCGCTGAGTTCTACCGGCAGAGTTGGAGAAGCAGTGGATCTTTCGAGGCATATGGTGGAGAAAGGCTGTGCGCCCGACGTCCACAGTTACATCTATCTCATCAGCGGGCTTGTGAGATCCGAGAACATGGATCGAGCTCCTGATATCATCGCGGACATGGCAGCGAGAGGCTGCAAGCCAAACGTCCACAACTTTAATCTCCTGCTCGAGTTCCTGCTCAGCTCCGACAAGGCGTGCGAAGCTCTCGGGGTTGTGAAGAGGATGGTGGTCGCGGGTTGCTGCGAGCTCCAGGAGGCTTCGAACAAGATCATCATGAAGTTTCTCGAGGAGAAAGGTGACGCAAATTTGGCGTCCGACTTCTACGAGGATTTGGCTGTTTCGGATCGTATGGTCTACAATGGGCTTTTGAGACTCCTCAATGGTGCTGGACAGTACGAGAAGGCACTCAGGCTCTACGAGGACATGAGAAAGGACGCCGGCTGCGCTCCAGACATTGAGACAAAGAACATAGTCATCCAAATGCTTTGCAAGGAGGGGAAGACCGACGAGGCTCTCGAGCTGTTCCAAGGGCTGAAAAGCTCGAGGATCAAGCCAAACAAGGCTACGTTTGACGTGCTCTTGGTGGGACTGGCCGTGAACGACAAACTTCTCGATTGCCTTCAAGTGATCAAGAAGATGGACAAGAAAGGCTTCGCTCCGGAAGAGGCTACTTACGCCTGCGTGATCGAGGCTTTCACCGTCGGTGGTTTGTACGACCAGGCTTTCAGGCTCTACGGCAGGATGAAACTCGAAGGGATGGATCTAAGCCTGGAGCTCCAGAATCAAATGCTCATGAGACGCCGGAGAAGCTTGGAAGCGAAGAGGTAAAGTTCATTATTTATGTTACTCAAGATTTACAAGTTCGTCACTACAGAAGTGGATGAGTCGAGGTCATCGTACATTCGTACTATGTGAGACAGGAGGCTGGTGTTTTCGAGACTCGGCACATCTGAAGAATTCCGTCGAGGCTTCAGAGGCCAGAGCTCGGCATAACCGGAAAGCATTGCGACAACTTCGGCCATCGTCGGACGGCAGCTCTCGTTACTATCGGTGCACAAGAGAGCTATGTGGATAACTTGGAGAACTTGTTTATCATCGTACCGCTCCAGTCGTGTATCAGCGAGGCTGAGCAGGCTTCTGGCTTGATGAAGGTCCCAAGCCTGCGTTGCACGAGAGATATAGTCGAAGAAGAAGAATCCGATGCTTACCCGGTCGAGAAGGAACTGCTCATCTGGTGCTACACACCTCCTCCCGGCAACAATCTCCAGAGTCAGGATTCCAAAGCTGTAAACATCGGCTCTCACTGTCAGTCGTCCGCGGAACGCGTACTCGGGAGCAATGTAGCCACTGGAGGAAAGAGCGGTCAGAGACTTTCGAAGCTCAAAGAACTTACTAAGTGCCAGCAATTCTAGTGCCACTGATGAAGCTTCGGTCGTCTTCAAACAGCTTGGAGATCCCAAAGTCGGAGATCTTTGCGTTGAGGTTCCCGTCCAGGAGGATGTTGCTAGCTTTGATGTCACGGTGGACGATCGTGACATTGGCATCATGGTGGAGGTAAGCCAGGCCTCGGCTCACTCCCACGACGACGTTATATCGACTCGACCAGTCCAGGAAAACACCACCTTCTGCAACAGCAGGTTAAGGTATGACCAGATCACTTCGCTGCTTTTTTCTATTTTACCAAATAGTGCGATATCCAAGCTTCGATGATGCAGGAACTCGTAGACCAGCAGCTTGTGCTGAATGTCAGCACAGTATCCTATGATCTCCACCAGGTTCTTGTGCTGAATTTCAGTTATCACTTTTAGCTCATTGAGAAACTCATCCGTTCCCTGGTGTGATTCCAGTGACAACCTCTTCACAGCAACAACTTTTCCATCTTTCAGAACACCCTGTGGCAAGGCAAAAGAACTCTCGAATCTTAGAGCTCAAAGTACACACGTGAGTACCTTATATACTACTCCAAATCCTCCCTCTCCCAGCTTGTTCTCCGCGGAGAATCCCTTCGTCGCGAGCTTGAGTTCCTTGTACTCGATGCATCGGGCACGCTCTATGACGATACAAGAATGGATTTTCCATTTGGCTTCGAAAGAAAAGGTACCTTTGACTCTCACTGATCCCAAGTTTTTCCGTTTTACCATATCGATGATGCGTGTTGTAAGGACGAAGCCAACGCAGATAAGCGTGACTGGAACTCCCACATCGAAAACAATCTTGCTGACTGGAAAAACTTACACTTCATCAGGAAAGAAAAAATTCCAAGTAAGATCACCTCTTGAGCTACTGCTAGCAGGCACTGGAACGTAAATCACATTTCCTGGAGGTGGCGATGGCAAAGGTGGCGGTGGCGGAGTTACCGTCATTGTGATCACAATACCTGTGATGGTCATGATTCGATCAAAGAACTGTAGCGAAGAATGCAAACACCAAAAAGCTTACTTGGATCTAATATATGGATTGGATCCTTGTTATAGAGCAAGAAGCAATCGTAATTTGTTCCGGTAGTCCAATATCCGCCACCTCGAAGTGGAAACGACGTGTTGAAATCGTCGATGCGAACTCTAGCAGCTGTGAGGCAGCTGCTGCAGTGATCTCGATCCAGAGTCCTGTTGGAGCACTGACTGAGTGCCCACACAACGCTGTCCCCGCGGCCATAGCTCACCAGAAGCTCGCTCCCATTCATGGGCGTCCAGAGGTAGAGGAAAGAGCACACCGTGTCCAAGCTCTGGCTGTAGCTATCTCCGGGAGTGTAGCTCCCGCCATAGACGAAAACATCGAAAGCTTGGGCAGTGGCGGGATAGTTGACGGGATGATCGGCTCCAATCTCTGGAAGAACTTGGAGAAGTATCATCACGAGAAGGAAGATGATCACCATGGCAACTTTAGACCACCTATTTTTTCTAGGGGAAACAAAAAGTTTATCTGATATTAGTGTGGGATCACAAGATACATAATGAGAAATGAAAGTTTGCCAAAACCATGAAGCTTTAGAGAGGACCTTCAGGCTCATTGACGGCCTTGCAAAGCTTCACCGACGGCGTGAGGTACTGCCCGGCGATGATAAAGTCGGACATGATCTGGTAGAAGTGCTGCGTGTAGTGGATTCCATCGAAGGTGAAGTACTGGCTGGGATCGTTGCAAACCGTGTAAGTCACATTGGGCTCGTTCAGTGGAGCGCAGCCGCATAGCCCATCACCATTACAGTTGAACTTGCCACCGCCGCCGCAGCACGACTGGAGCGCGTTCGTGAATCCATACTGGTTCATGTTCTCCATGACGTACGTGTTTGCCGCGAACCAGTCGGAGTAGTATACATTGAGGCCCGTGTAGTTCTGCGCGAGCTCGGTCGCCAGCCTCTGGATGTTGGAGTTGAAGTAGGAGATAAGCTGGCCGACCTCCACAATGCAACCATCGTTGTCGTAGTGGAATGTCCCGGCGGGGTACTGCTGGAAGGCCTGGAGATAGTTTGGCGAGCAATCCGCGCGGGGCATATTGAAGAGCAGGACATGGCGAGCGCCGTGGTTGTAAAGCGTGGCGATGCCCTGGATCACGGCCGGGATGGTGTGATTGATCACCGTGTCGGTTCCCAGCGGCAGCGCGAAGTTGATGTCGTCTCCTCCAATCTCGACGTAGAAGAGCGCATTCTCGTACCACGGCTCGCTCTGCTCGCGGCCATTGCGCGCAACCACGGTCTGCTGGTGGCGCACGAAATCGTCAACCTGGGCCGAGAAGATGTGGGGGCTCGAGAATGGCTGGTTCTCGACCTGGAGCACCGTGGCTCCAGCGTAGGCGAAGTCGAGGCTGACGAACTCGGTGCCATTGAACTCGAGGCTGGGGATGCCGATGTTGTCAAACCGAGCTTCTGGATCAGGAAGTCGGGGATGATGAGGCCGTCGCAGTAGCGCCCGGTTGGCTTTCCATACGTGACGCCGTAGGGGTAGCTGCCCGAGAGAGTCTTGCCGCCACCTTCGATGTCGCGGTTGCCACCATCGCTGAGAGAATCTGCAAAGGTGAAGAGCGCGGTGGGGCAGAATGAGCCCGGGCTGCTTTGGTTTGCGGATTTTGCAGGAGCGAACAAAGCAGCGAAGAGGAGCGTGGCGATGGCGAAAGTGGTGGAAGAAGACGCCATTGTGGAGAGATTTGAGAAATGAAAGTTTATATAGTGAGGAGTGTGGACTATTTTGTGTCCAAGCTATTCCAGATGTAGCTTTGGAGCTCTATAAGTAATATTCTATTCTCTCCATTTGCCTACAGTGGAAGTTTATAGAAGACCACCACCACATTCTCTATATTTTATAAATCCATTTCAGAAAATCCTTTGAACATCATAGTGGAAAAAAGTTACAATATATGGCGAAAACACACATACATTGATACATTTTCTATAGAAACTTTGATTCACTGTTTCATAGAGCAGAGGCTCCATCTATAAAAATTTTACTCACTTAGGTGGATCCACCCAAGAACGTGACATTTTATGCTGGAAGTTTTGGATATTCTTGAGATACTTTACTATTTATTCATTTAGATTAATTTTATATTTATAATTTATAAACATGTTTATAGTTTATAAACTTTTCTAAACACTATCTAGTATATTCTAGTTTAATGTAGTTTAATGCTCATTTAATGTAGTTTTACACTTATTAACTTTGGTTTATATGAACTTAGATCCAGTGACTTTTTTATGACACAAGCTACAAGTTTACAATCTCACTCTTATTCTCTGGTTGGAAAGAAAACCAACAAGATGCCAGGCAGCCGCTGCTCAGCTCATCTTCTTCTTCGTCAACATAGCAAAGTTCTTAGAGAAAAATGGGGTCTCTTCTTCTTGCCTTGGAGATTCTGGTGCTCGCCTCTTCCCTCTCTACCCTATCAACACAGTCGTGTCCGAGATGAACTTATACTCGGGCACCTCGAGGTTGAGCGGCGCTGGCCCCTTGCGCACTCGCCCAGACACGTCGTAGTGCGATCCATGGCAGGGACAAAACCAGCCTCCGTAATCCCCCGCGTTTGGCAGCGGCACGCATCCCAGATGCGTGCACACCCCGATCACGATGAGCCACTCGGGATTCACCACTCGCTCCGCGTCCTGCTGAGGGTCGCGGAGAGAGTTCACGGGAACGCTGTTGGCGGTGGCCACCTCGTCCGGGGTCCTGCGCCGGATGAACACCGGCTTGCCTCGCCACTTGACCGTGATCGTGGAGCCCTCGATGATGTTGCTGAGATCCACCTCCAGGCTCGAGAGCGCCATCACGTCGGCGCTGGCGGACATGGTCATGATGAGGCGCAGGATGAACACGCGGATGGCCGCCGCGTAGACGAACCGGGTGCCCGTGGCGACGAAGTAGATGTAGGCCGCTCGGTCGGGGTCGCCGGGCGGGTAGCGTTCCACCACGCTCTCGTCGTAGACAATGTTGGCGGTGGGGTTGCGCAGCGCCGTGAGGAAGGGCGATGAGTCCTCGCCTCCTCGCGTCAGCGCCTCGCTCCCTCGCGTCAGTGCGCAGCCTGGATAGATCGATCAAAAGATGGAAGCTTTTCCCCCCTTCTTGCGAGAATTTGCTTACCTCGTGTGGTGGAATAGCTCCAGGGAGTGGCGCAGCTGCCCCAGGAGGATTTCTCTTGCTTCTCCCAATCCCAGTTCGCCATCGCATTGCTCGCGCTCCACGCCGCGCCCCGAGAGAGACCGGAGGAGCAGGTGTGGAAGGACGACGTCGACCCCGCCGCCGCCGATGCAATGCGCGGAGCCAGCTTCCTCCCGAGATCCCGGATCAGCGACGAAGCCATGGCGCCGGAGGAGCCAAGAACCAATGCCCTAGCCAAGAGAGACCTAGCCCTAGAACAAGAACAGCATATCCTTGTGGCATCAACATAAAGCGAAAAGATTCCCCTTCGTAGAACCGAATATTCTAAAAACTCTATAGTCTATCTTGATCTTCGTCATTCATCTTGATCTTCGTCTCTGCGAACGTGAACCCAGGTTTGATCTGTTTGATCTTCATCGTTTCCTCTGATACTGTTATCGTTGTGGCCTTTGATCAAATCGCCGAGAGAATGGTACGCTTAGAAGAGGAAGTAAAAAAAAAAAGAAAAAATGTAATGAGGAGAAGAAAAAGTTTGCCTTTGATTCTTAGACTGTGTGGAGTTTTACCTGAGAGAGCGAGATTTTTCGTTGTGTGCACGATAGCTTGGACTTCTTTTCTCTCCTTTGTGGTCTTGACGAAAGTGTCCTGCAAAATCCAGGAGCTCATCAGAAATGTAGGAATCGATCGAACTCCTATGAGCTTACGAGATCTGAGCGTGTTCCCTCGACGATCCTGTCGAGCTGAGGCTTGTGTTTCACGAACAGAGGCTTTAGAAACACCTTGAAAACATGCCTTGCTCCCTACAAGCAAGGAAAGAAAAGCAAAGATCGGAGTGAGAAAGAGCAGAAAAAAATGGAACAGACGTACGTAGTTGTGTGGGAATTGTAGCCAAACAAGGAAAACAAGCTTTGCGTGGTAATAGAATGGACACCTGCGCGAGAGAAAACATACGAGGATTGAAGAATCTCTGAGCAGAAAAAAAAAACAAAACTTACCAGGAGAGAAGGGAATCAGAGAAGATTTCCGCTACAGTGAAACATCCATACACTGCACACCACAAAACATGAAGAACAGGGAGAAAAACAAGAAGGAATTTCTACCAGTCCAATAGACAAGCCATTCCTCCTGTTCTGCTTGATTCTTCCTCTCAATGGCCTTGAATGTGGAATACACTGGAAAGCCGATCCCAATTCCAACACTGGATGGAAATCCAAATCTTAGAATGCGAGAGAAGCGAAGAAAAAGAAGAAGAGAACCTTGCCGTGCGCACAACAATGTTTGTTCCAGCAGGCGATAGCAGCAATCGGAGGCCCAACTGCGCAGCGCCAAGAGTGTGGATCGATCGGAAGAACAAAGAGGGAAAATCTCACCTCACTGCCCAAGGCGCCCGCGAACGCCATCGCTCTTCCTCCCCTCCTAGGGTTCAGGAATTAGGGTTTGCGGCAAATTTGATTAGCTAGAAAAGCGCCATACATTTTCTCCTTTTTCTAGCTGGGATCGATCGATCGATCTTAGCTCAGCCGAAGAGAAGCATCGAAGTGATGGCGATGAGATTGAAGAAGATGAGCGGCATGCGCAAGTATTGGACAGCGTGAATGAAGCCAATGATCTGCCCCTTGAGCGTCTGGCTGCCGTGCTGCGACATGTCGCCAAAACCCCACCCGTGCGGCGCCAGGAATCGCTCCTCGTTCAAGATCGCGATGCTATTGAGCATCAGCAGCACGGCCTCGAGCAAGATCCACATCCTCGCTGCCCAGAAACCCTAGCCGAGAATTAGGGTTCTTGAGGAGCTAGGCGGGAGATATCACATTCAGGAAGAAAATGCGGCAGTGTCACTGATTCCCGGCGATGGAGGCATCGCTGTGGCTCGACGATTTGAGGTTTCACGCAGCTCGATCGATTCTTCCTGGACGAAGTGTGGGATCGCTGAGCAGCTAGGCGATGTGGTGCGATCGGCCAAGCGAAATTTAGGGTTCTTCGGGATTTTCCCATGGGGTTCCTCGCGATCACAAGGAAGAATGCGGCAGCGAGCATCCGGCTGGTGCGATTCCTGTCGATGGAGGCGGAATCGCTGCTGGTGAGGCGACGTCCCTGCGTCACTCTCCCATCGCCCTATTCTCTCAGCAGGGACATCAGCAGGAGCCGGCTGGAGAGTCCACTCAAGAAGATTTCGCTGGATTCCCACCGGAAGGACGTGCTCACCAGCGATTTCATGTGGGAGCCCGTGAACGAGGATCTCCAGTTCGTGGTGGAGATGACCAAGGCGATCAGGAAGGGGGAGCTTGGGTGGTGGACCGCCGAGGAGCTGCTAAGATCATCCGGAGTGAAGAGGCTGCGGCCATACCACGTCTGTGAGATCTTGAAGCAGCGCATCGGCGAGGAGGCCGCGCTCAAGCTCTTCCGGTGGGCGAAGACGCAGCCAAAGTACTACAACGACACTTACGTCTACAACATGATGATGAAGACTCTCGGGGATGCCAAGAACTTCCGGATGATGGAGGAGCTCCACGCCGACATGGCCAAGGCCAAGGTCGCGAAGAACGAGATCACGTACATGATCCTCTTCCAGTGCTACTTCGACGGTGGCGAGATCGAAAAGGCCTTGAAGTTCTTCGATGTGTTCGAGCATTCGGAGAAGCCGGCCATGAAGCACTACAAGTACGTGATGCACAAGCTCGTCAAGGCCGGGTGTTTCCAGGTGGTGCCTCTGATCTTCAAGAACATGATCTGGGCCGGGAACAAGCCGGATAGATTTGCGTACAACGTTGTCATCAACAGCCTCTGCAAGCTCGGCAAAGTTGACGAGGCGCTCAAGTACACCAGGGAGATGTCCGAGAAAGGCTATCCTCCGGACGTTTACACGTACAACTTCGTCATGGAAGGGATTGGAAACACCACGAACTTGGAAGCGTCGGCCAAGGTGTTTGAGGAGATGGTAGCGAACAAGTGCCAGCCCAACATTGTCACCTTCAACGTTCTTCTCGACACGTTTTGCAAAGCCGGGAAAACTGCTCAAGCCGCGGACTTGGTAAGGAAGATGGTGTCTTATGGCTGCTCGCCCGGGGAGAGGGCTTTCAGGATCCTGATGGATGCGTTTGGGAGGTCTGGGGAAGTGGATGCAGCGCATACCTTGGTCCGGGACTTGATGAAGATGAACTTCTATCCCAACTCGCTCACTCTCAACGTGATCATGACCAGACTGAACAAAGTCGGCAAGCCGGAAGTAGCGCTCGAGCTCTATTACGATCTCAAGGCCGCGGGAGGCTTTGTTCACGATCTCATCACTTACAACATCATCATCGACTTGCTGGGAAAAGTTGGGAAAGTCGATGAGGCCTGGAAAGCCTTTGAGGAGCTCAAGCTGGAGCAGCGCCTCGTGCCGGACCATTACACGTACAACACGATTGTGGTCAGGATGGCCAAGGTGGGGAGGCTCCAAGCTTGCTTTGAGCTGATCAAGGAAATGGAGGGCAGAAACGTTTCGCTGGACCGCAGCTCGTACTGCAATCTGGTGGAAGCTTTCGGCCGCGCTGGTCACATTGACCAGGCATGCTCGATGCTGAGGGAGATGAAAGCCAGTGGACATAGCCCTCAAATGAATACTTTGCAGACGCTTGTGAACCATGCTCGGAGGCTCAACAGGCTGGAAGTTGTACAGTTGCTGATGCCAGAGCTGGAGCAAGCAGAGATGCGGCAGTACCGGTTCTGTGCCAGCAGTTAACGGCTTTTCAGGTAGAGTTGATGCTTTGCATCGGCTCTGCTATGAATATTGTCGTCAGGAAGGACAGACCGTCGCAACGAATGGATTTTCGCCAGTTCACCAAGACGAACTCGCCAGTTCACCAAGACGAACATCGCTGTAAGACAATTTGCTAGTTCTTTTCACAATAACGTGTTGTCTATAGCAGATTTATGAACTCCACGAGCTTCCGACCAGGACGGTACCTTGAAATAAAGTTTTGTACCACGGCTCGGAGTATGCCCAACCAACAGGATTCAGGCATGTGTTTGATTGCCAGGTAGTAGGCTAACAAGCATTTTTTCAGGCAAACCAGCAACTTGAAGCCACGAATCACGAGCTTTCCCGGGTATTGTATGGTACTGAACCCATGGGAGTTTAATTTTCAGCCGTGCCTTCCAGCTTGATGGGAAGAAGGGATCTTCGCTGCTCTGCCATACGTGAACCGCATCACCGACAAAAGGATTGTGGAGTGCCGCTGGATCGAACTCCCAGCTTCCAAATTGAATCATCAGATCTCTGTGAATGGATTCGTGTATTCCCTGCTGTATCGCAAGCTCCGAAACCTGGGAACCTCGAGTCCGTGAGTTGCTCTTTTAATATTACATACCTGACTAAGTTTCTCCATGTTTGATGAAGGGAACCATTTTTGCCTTGTGTAATGGTAGAGGAACCGAGGAGCATAATGTGCTACCTGGAGAGTGTATCTATCGGCGGCCTCTAAAGCCTCGAGCCCTTGAGAAGTAGCAGCTAAGCCTGGCCACCAGAAGTTTGCAACAGGTGAAATCATCGCAAGTCCTGCTATCCTGTTGAAACACATTGCTAGTTGCATTTGCAGCCATTCTCAAGGCATTGTACCTGTTGGGAATGTATTGAATGCAACCCCAGCCGGCGTATGCACCAACACCAATGGCTATCACGTAAAACTTCGGTCCAAGCTCAAGTGCATCTGCCAAGTGCTCCATGTCTTGAACCTCGGACGCAATAGAACGGTGCGGGAAGGGGTGGCTTTCGCCGTATCCAGCTCGATCGAAGCTCACCATATACACACCGAGCTCCTCCAATTTTTCCTGCACAGGTTCGCTGCTTACTGCACTGTTAGCTGGCTTGAATATATCTTACCTCGTTGCAGGGGAAAAGATCCAAGCGAGTGCCTCCGTACTCGTGAACAACAACAACCTTGTGCTTTGCATCGTTCTTGGAGACACCTCTTTCAGCGTAAGCAACGGGTCGACCATCTGGAAAGCGGAGTCGAGAAGTGGTAACAGCGGGGCCATGCAGTGTCCCGCATATCTTTGCGGGAGGTGGAGCTATATACGAAACTCCAAGAGCCACAGCAATAGACAGTGTTATAAAACTGATTTTGAGCACCGGATTTCCTGCACAGACAGGTTTTTTTCTCGTCGAGCTAAATACCGTTCTTTCAGAAACACTGACAGTTTACCGCTGGGCTTGGATTTTGCAGACTTGGAGTAGATGTGCTCGATTTGGCTGGAGAAACAATCGACCGAGGCCATGAGCGCTTTGATCCTCTCCTCGGGTCTGGAGCACTCCTGGGAAGAGAGGTTACGAAAAAAGAAGAAAACCAGGCTGCCGTGGTGTCTGGTGGAGGAGTTATGATCAACAGCAGGGATCAGGGATCACACAACAGCTCAGCAGCTGGTAAATGATCTCATTGTATCTATAGCTAACTAGAGCTACTCATCTCATCCGCGATGGATTTTTCTCGCTCGCAGTGAAGCAAGAGAGAGAGGAGCGATAAAAAGTAGCGAAAGGGAAAGCAAAGGCGCCTGCCTACATTATTGTACTAGCGAGCAGTGGTGGAAGCTTATCTCACTAGCAACATAAACATCAGGTAAACATCAGGTGATGTGAAGTATTGCTTGTGCTAATTGGAGGGAGTTTTCCATTTTCCAGGGATAAACTGGCGTGGAGCCCGTTCATCGATGCACACGAACGGATCCATTCGGATTGGCTGCAGCCACTGCGAGCGGACACATCAAAACGGATCGCGACTCACCCGGTGAGATTCGCGTCTCGAAGTTTTATTTTCTTTTGCTTTGTCCGTGTTCTTGCGAGATCTTTTGCTTTCTCTGCGTCTTGGGTGATTGAGACTCTAATCAGTACTCTCTCCTTGTGCTTTGTTAGTAGTAATCCTCTTCGCCTTCTCGAGACTGGAAAGGCTTCTTTCGTGTTTTTCGAATCGCTGCTCGTTCTGATAGGTACTGTTCTTCTGTCTGTACAGACTATTTTCTTCCAGCTTTGCAGCGCTTGATCGACTAGGTGATGTGGTAATGTTTTCGAGGCTTTGGATTTCTTTGATTTTCCAAGTTCCTCGACTTCGAGGCTAATCTTCTCTTGTTTAGCGTTTAGGACGATTTTATTTCTTCGAGCTCGGGCTTTTAAAAGTGATAAGTATGTTTGTTTCGCGGGATTTAATGTCAAAGACAGAGACATTTTGGGATAAGATGATGCCCGGCCCCTGACTGGCTGCCCGTGGCTGCCCGTGGCTGCCCGCCCTGCCCGCGGGCTAGAGAGAGGGTGTGTGCCCCTTTCTTTGTGCTTCGATCGACTAGGCAAAAATGGCGAGCAGTGCTCTTGGACGCTGGCGGGGGGGGAGGAATCCCTGGCGGCACCAGCAGCGGCGGGCGCGGCGGCGAGCGCATCGTGTTCCTCATCTCGGCGCGATCGATCTAAGCTCCGGAATGCTGCGATTCACGTCATGTGAGTGTCCCTCGCGCCTCCATTCTCGAAATTTCGGCCCTGGCGAGCTCGGGGAGCTCGAATTTGCGGCGCTCCACTGCCGCGAGCTTTAGACTCTGTTTTTCCCATGCTCTAGGGTTTTGATGATGTGCTGATGAGCGTGAGTGTTCGCGCAGGATCGGCTGCCTGGATGGCGTCCAATACCTCGCAGCTCTTCCCCAGTCACGCTGGCGGGCGGGAATTTGGAGCTTTCTCGGACTCCGGATGGTGTAGCAATGAATTCCAGAATTTTGATGCGCCAGTTGGATCGTCGATGTTCTCGGCCACTTCACAGTTAAATCGCCTTCTCAGTGCTCCTTGCTCGCTGCCAAACTTAGTTCTTGAAAGACGTGAGTTCTCTCGTTCCTCGAGTTCCTGTTTTCTGATAGAATCACTTTTGCGATTGTCTAGAGCCGCTTGCTTCCGAGGATGTGGAGAGTGACGACATCTTTGGTTCTATGCAAGAGCTCGAGTCGCATGCCTTGGGGACTCTCCTTCCGGATGCCGAAGAGGACCTTTTAGCCGATTCTGGATACAATCTGGGCTCTCTTCACGATGATGAGTTCGATTTTTTCAACAGTGGTGGTGGAATGGAGCTGGAGGGTGACATCGCAGGCACAAACGGGAACTTTACCGGGAATGTTTTGGCAGGAGAACACCCGTATGGAGAACATCCCTCTAGAACGCTTTTTGTTCGCAACATCAACAGTAACGTTGAGGATGCGGAGCTTCGAGCACTTTTTGAGGTGAGGCTGCATTTGTTTTCGGTTTTCTTGAGCGCGCGTGACACACGTTTTGGTTTTTACCTTCTCTTCTTTTAAGCAATATGGTGATATTCGTACGCTGTATACCGCTTGTAAACACCGCGGATTTGTGATGATATCGTATTACGACATCCGGGCTGCCCGGAGTGCCATGCGTGGTCTCCAGAACAAACCTCTACGTCGAAGAAAGCTGGACATCCACTTTTCAATACCGAAGGTACTCAGAATTTCTGAGTTGCTTCTTACGCTAATGCTCGCTTCGTCAGGATAACCCGTCCGATAAAGATGTCAACCAGGGGACGCTAGTTGTATTTAATCTGGACACGTCAGTCACAAACGACGACCTGAGACAAATTTTTGGTGTCTATGGAGAAATTAAAGAGGTATGCTTGTCTTTTCGGTGACAACGTTTACGTATGCAACTCTCTTTTGTAATTCAGATACGCGAGACACCACACAAGAAGCATCATAAATTTATTGAGTTTTACGATGTCAGGGCAGCTGAAGCGGCGCTAAGAGCGCTGAACAGAAGCGATATTGCGGGGAAACGTATCAAACTGGAACCCAGTCGCCCTGGTGGTGCTCGTAGGAGGTACGTGTCTGTGTGGAAGCCAGGAAACAGAGTTTTGAAGCGATTGTTTCAGCTTAATGCAACAGCTCACCCACGAGCTGGAGCAGGAAGAGTTTCGGTGCCAGCAGATGCAGACACCTTTGGACTCGTCACCTTCAGGTATGCTTCCTGAAGTTGCATACATGCTTACGTGTTTCAAGTGTAATACCTTGCGGCAGGGCAATCACCACACTGGGGAAGCAGCACGCTTCGAATGAATGATCCAGGAATAAGAGCTGTGCACTCTTCATTCGGCTCCTTTGCTAGCAAGCATCCAAACGGTGTTGGTAGCGTTCCTGCCCGGGTCTCTTCTCCATTACATGTTAACATTCCTGATTCTCTCGGTCGGTCCTCTGGTCACTTCATGCGTCAGCAATTTTCATCTTTACAGATCTCTGACCAGGACCCCACCAGTTTTGGTGTGTATGACCAGAGAATACCCTCTAGCTTACGAGAAGTGTCGGCATCGCTCGACCACTCGCCCAGAGGTGCGAAGATATTATCTTTCTCGTTACGGTGTGACTGACATTTCGACTGTGCAGTTCTTACGGGTACGAGAATCACAGAGCAGTCACTCTGGAGTAATTCCAGTCCGTTCCATTCTCAACTACAGAGTTTTGTGGGAGACAGGCATTTGGACTCCACCCGGGCGAGTATGGAACTTTCCGCAGCCTTTGCGGATCGAAAGCTAGTCGACGGTCACAATGGCTTCTTCACTGACTTGCCCGGCATGTCATGGTCAGGACCGGTTGGGGGCCTGAATATGAAAGGATCCAATCAGGCTTTCAGTGGCCTTGTGGATTCTTCACGGTTGGGACCGCTATATAGAACTGGTCCATTTGTCAATGGTGCTGGGTCACTGGATAATTTTAGCGAACGTTGCAAGAGCCGGAGGGGTGAAATTTCTGCGGGGCTTGCGGAGAACAAGAAGTATCAGCTGGACTTGGAACGCATCCTCCTCGGGAATGACTTGCGGACGACGCTGATGATAAAAAACATACCAAACAAGTAAGCATTCCGAACAGAGCAGTCTTGCGGTGATATTTACGTTTTTCGGCTTTTAGGTACACATCAAAGCTGCTTCTGTCGACAATTGACGAGCACCACCGTGGTACCTACGATTTCATCTATTTACCAATTGACTTTAAGGTGATTTTAGGCGAGCAAAAGTGTTTCCCTGGTATTGACCGGCTTTTGCCTGTGCAGAATAAATGCAACGTTGGCTATGCATTCATCAACATGACCGAGCCAGCTCACATCGTCCCCTTTTACAAGGTTCGATCAATTCTCTCGCTCGTCTGGTTGTAATCCTTGTTGTTCGCTCTGTGACTTTCAGAGTTTTAACGGCAAGAAGTGGGAGAAGTTCAACAGCGAAAAGGTTGCTTCTCTCGCCTACGCACGGATCCAAGGCAAGGCCGCGCTGGTCGCACACTTCCAAAACTCGAGCCTCATGAACGAGGACAAAAGGTGTCGTCCAATACTCTTCCCTTCGGAAAACAATCCGGTAAGTAGTGCTTAAGAGATAGCTCTTCATCGATCTAAGATTTGCTTGTTGCAGCAACACTTTTGTGCTGCTCGGCCCGAGCCGGATGGAAACTGCCAGTTCGAAATCTCTTCGCTGTGATCGAGATGGAGAGAGGTGTGAGCTTTTGTACGAGTTCCTTCTTTTTTTCTAGCTGCGGCAAGAGAGCTGTGGGAAGTCCGTAAGGATCTTTCTAGCAGGCGGTGTATTTTGTTTGGATTGATCGATGGTTTCTTCGTTCCGGTGAAAAGAAGAAGAAGCATCGATTTTTGTACAGAGAGAGGCCATCAAACTATGGTTTTGAGAGTTAAATTAGAGCTTGGCTAACATAACAAGTTCCAAGCGTGAAAGTGGGGCCCCGTTCAGCTAGTTAAGGCCAAAGGGATAAAAAGAGATTTTTAACGATGGAGATTTCCTTTCCTCGCCAAAGAGATTCAGGGCTTTAGCGCGAGCGGGGGGGAGTGGGCGATTGTGGAGAGCGCCTTGCCCGGTAAGAATCCAGCGCGCCCGCGCCTGGCATTGGATTGCTTGCTAGGTTTCGCTGCGGTTGATGCCTTTCGGGAGCCATAAGCTCCATCCAATGTGGATTGCCTGTGTTCCTTCCCACGGCCCTAATTCGTGCTCCAGTGCCGTGAGTTTTAATCCGCGCTTACAGATTCCTCGCGAGAAGTGGATTGTGAATCCAAACGAAAGGATTCCCCGGGAATTCTATTGTTTTTTCCACTCGCTCGCCGCGTAGCTTGAAGATGACAGCACTTAACGTTGGAGTAAGTTTCTAGAGAGCAGTGCTCTTGGTGTTCGTGTTAAACAAATCGCGGCTTACGTTTTTAATAACTTTCCTTTCATTGCAGGGTCTTCACGTAGCTTGTGTTTCTCACCCAAGCTTTGTACGCTCGGTGAAAGAAAAATCCCTCTGTACGTGTAGCTACGTCGAGAACACGAATCTACAATCGTCCTGGACGCACAGTTTTTCAAAGATTGTGTTGAGGTAGCGAAGTTTTCAGTATTTCTTTCTTTCTTTCTTTGCAAGTATGTCAAGTCTCTCCTATCTTGCTTTCTTTTTTTTTCTAGATCCTCACCACTTGATCCACACGGATATCTTATGCTGTTTCCAAAAGCAACGAACAGGAAACGAACTTTTCGTGCTGTATCATTCCAAGACGTTGCCGAGAACGAGTCCGACGGCAACGACTCACCGACATCATCCTCCTCGACGCCTACGCTGGACTGGCAACAAAGAGAAAGATTGTGGCAGCAGTTACAAGGCTCGCTGCAGCACTGGAGGCAAAACTTAAAAGATCGCGGATCTCTCCAGGTCGCGAGGGAGCTCCTGGCAATCACGGAAGTTAGAAGAAAGAGCGCCGACGCGAAACAGGTGTTGAAGCAAAAGCTGCAGACGCTAAAACCTCCCCAACCGTCGACACTTTGGTCGAGCATCCATCCCGCGATAAAATGGCCGGTGATCGTATTGTAAGTAGAAAAATTCTATGTTCTATATGCTAAAGTTTTTCGTCTTTCTTTTCAGTGGCATTTTCTACGCGGCTGTGACTGTCCGGTTTGGAAAAGCAGTCTCGGATGATCTGTGGCGAGTATGGACGCTGGGCCCTCTGGCCATGAGCTTTTATATCCAGGCAGGGATTTACGCTGGAAGCTTGTACCAAAAGTATGGAGCAGCGAGGGTCCAGGCACTAAATCAGCGAGGACTCCAACTCTTGTCCGACGTGAGAACGGGAAGGCTCCAACAGGAGTTGAGAACAGGCATCTCCAACGCCAAGAAGTTTGCGTCGAGCTCCAGAGTTTGGGCGATCCAGTACGTGAAAACTCAAGCTCTTCGCGATCTCAGGGAAGCGTTGGCTCGCTTGGCGCTGTGGTTGTATACCAAGTACGAGGACGCCATCGACTGGCTGTGGCCATCGTGGAGGGTCTTCGCGAGGCTCTTGCGGAACCTCCTTTGAGAAGATGGAAGCTTTCATCTCCATCTTCGTCCATCGCTACGAGCTTCCATTTCCGCTTCGTCCATCGCTACTTTTCGGTTTTTCCAGGCAGATATCAATTTTTTGGGCCGCGAAAGGAATGCCTTCTCGATGTCTGCTGCTTGGCTGCTACACTAAAATTTTTCTCTTATGGAATTATACTCCGTTGTAACGTTTTATAACTTTCGCTCAAAGGTTCTCATCTCGAAACCAAGGAATTGGGTGGAATCTTTTGGTCATAGTACAGAGCATATGCCCCAACTTTTGTGTGACCAAATGATTGATTGGAGGAGAAAAAGGTTGCGCCAGCAGCCGCGGCAGTGCACATCATTAAGCCTACCAATCCACAAAAAAACTATTGGCCGGGAAAAAAAAAATTCAAATAAATTAGGAGAATTCGAACCCGTGACGTGTGTATGGATTGGATTCCCTCGCTTTTTCTTTGCCCTGGGAAGAAGGAAGCTTCGAAATTTGAATGCTTCGAAAAAGTGGCGCCAGTGGTACGTAATTTTCACCCTGCCAGCTTTATTTTCGAAAAATGGGTTTAACTTAAACATTCTTTGATTTAATATAGTTTTTGCACTGCCAATTTAAGTGTTTCTTGCAAGCGTGGCACACATGGACAGCCAATTTTCATTGAATTAGAAGATCTCATTCCGCAATCTATGGTTGGCGGGGTCACATTTTGCCAAAGTTGGTGCCTGGATCTCCAAGTGAATTCCTTGACTATATGTACAAAAAACCATTGGGTCATTTATTTCTCCAGGGACCACTTGCAATGTTTTTCCTGTGCGAGCGATCTACGCAGACAATCACACTCAGCGTGAAAGAGCCACAGGCCACGTCCTCTCCATGCCCTAATATCTTTTGTTCCGGGGCGGGAGATAGAAACAAAGCAAAGGTGGTGTTAGCTAACCCTACCATCTCCTCTCGATCAATCAAAGAAAAAGCAATTAGAATCCGTAGCGATAAGATTGAGCCAATAGGACAACACGCAAGGGCCCCATTGGGCCACATGGCCATTGGGACCAACGCGAGTAACGACAAACGAGCTCCTGGCCCGCCAGATCCTGCCCGTCCATCTCAGGCCACAACGGCGGCGATCGTGCCGCGTCAGGTCAACGGAAATGCTGCCGGGAAGCTGCTCGTGAAAACTTATCTTGCGCCGGCCGGCAAGGGCGAAACGGGCAGGCGTGCCCGCGCTGCCCGTGGCTGCCCGCGGGCTAGAGAGAGGGTGTGTATGCGTGTTGGTGCGTTCTTTCCCTTTTCTTTCTTTGTTTTTGCGTGGTTTTTGTACGAAGAGGGAAAGAGAGAGCGCGAGGGAGAGAAGAGAGAGAGAGAAGAGAGAGCTATGGAGCAACGATCGATCGCGGCAGTGGAGGACGCATCGAATAGGCGCCGCTTCGAGCTCTGGATTGTGGCGATCTGCATCATGTAAGCTACGCATGGGATTCCTCTGGCTTGGTGATCCCGCTGCTGTGAGCTCCAGGAGCTCCAAATCATGGATTCCCGCCCCAAGATCAAGCTCCCGCTGGATATTTCGCTTGGATCTACTCGATTCCCTCTCTTCCCCTGCTTTAGGCTCCTCGTCATGATCGCGCTCCCTCATTCACACTCTCCTCCTTGTCGTCTCCCCGGAGCTCTTCTCTCGCGCTCAATTGATCGCGCGCTCTCGTGCTAGGGCGAGCGTAGTCCCTCTCGCGGCGTAATTTCGCTCCCTCGCCAGGTTTGCCCGCCATGGCGTGGATTCTTGGTGCCTGACGCTGTGAGAAAAATCTGTGAATGCAGGAGCTTTCTGCGATGGAGATGGAAACTCGCAGCGTCGGCCAGCTCTTCCCCGCTGGCGCTCGAAAATTCGAGGCCTTCTCCCAGCACGGGTGGTCGCTTGCCGAGCCGGACTGGGCAAATGGGCTTCACAATCTAGCTAGAAATCACGACGGTGTCGCCAACAACGCCAATGGTTGGTTAGAAAATGGGAGAGGAAGAAACCCATTCCCCGCGGTTTCTCCGATAAATGGGCTCGCCCACTCTCTACCAAATATGCTCCAGCAAAGACGTAAGTTACTACTACTAAAATCATCTTTTTTTCTTACTCTGATCTTCTCTCTCTTTTTTTTTTTGCTATGCATGCAGTCAAACTGTCGGAACCGACGGTAGTCTCTGATCCGGATGCCGAGACTGAAACTGACGAGCTTTTCGGATCGATGCAAGAGCTCGAGTCACACGCTTTAGGCAGACTTCTTCCTGATGCCGAGGAGGATCTTTTAGCCGAGGTGGGCTATGCTTACGAGCGGAACAGTAACGAGGATGACTACGACATTTTCAACAGCGGGGGTGGACTGGAGCTGGAGGGTGATCCTTACTTGAACAACTATCAGATTGGTGGCAACACAGCCGCAGTGTTGGCCGGGGAACACCCCTACGGCGAGCATCCTTCGCGAACGCTTTTTGTGAGGAACATAAACAGTAACGTTGAAGATGCGGAGCTGCGAGCACTTTTTGAGGTAACGAAATCTTGTTTTACCTTTTCTTTGCTCATTTTGTGTCCTCTCCCTTTTCACCAGCAATATGGTGCCATTCGCACTTTGTATACCGCCTGTAAGCATCGGGGATTCGTGATGATTTCCTACTACGACATCCGAGCAGCCCGTACTGCAATGCGCGCCCTCCAGAACAAACCGCTCAGGCGTCGAAAGTTAGATATTCACTTTTCCATTCCGAAGGTATTGTGTAGCAATATACGGCATGGAACTAACACGGTCTCTTGCAGGATAACCCCTCAGATAAGGATGTTAACCAGGGCACTTTAGTGGTATTTAATCTCGACGCCTCAGTGACCAACGACGACCTTCGGCATATTTTTGGTGTTTATGGTGAGATCAAAGAGGTGAGTACAAGCTCTTGTACTAGACAGCCTTCTCACATGTGGATGATACTACGTCAGATACGTGAGACCCCACACAAGAAGCACCACAAGTTTATAGAGTTTTACGATGTCAGGGCAGCTGAAGCTGCCTTGAGAGCCTTGAACAGAAGCGACATCGCAGGAAAGCGTATAAAGCTGGAACCCAGTCGTCCCGGTGGTGCTCGAAGAAGGTAATGCGGTCGGCTACTGCAAGCATTGGAATCGATTTTTGAGATTTATTTTTCAGCCTAATGCAACAGCTCACTCAAGAGCTGGAGCAGGAAGAGTTTCGGTGTCAGCAACTTCAGGCATCATTGGGTGCTTCGCCTGCAGGTTTGTTTTATGCACGACGTTCTATTTATTTTATCTAACTGATTGCACTCCAGGGCATTCACCGCAGTGGAGTACTCCTATGAATAAGTTGAACGAGCGAGGCACTTTTGGTTCCTTGGGTATCAAGCCTCTAAACGTAAATGCTGGTTCGTTGCCTGCACGTGTGTCCTCTCCGCTACGAAACGGCATGTCCGCAAATCCTGATTCTTTCATACAACCGGAGCGGTCTGTTGGCCTTCGAATCCGTCAGCAATTTCCATCGTTACAGATTCCTGACCTCGACAGTCCAACACGGGTTCCACCCGGCTTTGGAAATTATGACGAGCTAGATGCTGGTACCCTTCAGAGGGCAGTCTCGAGCTTGTGTGACGTGCCGTCTCTCGAGCAATCATCCAGAGGTAAGTTTTCAGCAATCAAACAGTCATCGTGGACTGATCATGCCATTTTTATTTCTCTCCAGCTTTTGGAGTTCCTGCTTCGAGAAACGAGGACTTGTCATGGAACAGTTCGGGCTCGCTATACTCCGCGAATGCCATGTACCATACGGACGGGCATAGCCGAGCTGCAGATTATTCAGCAACATTTACCGAGCAGAGTCTGATGGATGGCCAGAATAGGTACTACTCTGACTTGGCCGAGAGATCAGCGTTAGGATGGCCAGGATCTCTCGGCGGCCTGAGAATGAATGGTTCTAAGGGGGCTGGCCTCACTCACGGCGGTTTGAACCTGGCTGCTATTGCTACATCGAAAGGATTGGTGGATTCTCCCAGGTTGGGTGTTATGTCACCACAACTTAGGCCCCGTTCCTTTCCAAATGGTGCGACTTTGGAAACTTTTAGCGACCGTTGTAGAAGCCGAAGAACCGACAGCACTTTGACTCTGGCAGAGAACAAAAAGTATCAGCTTGACTTGGAGCGTATTCTTCGCGGGGAAGACTTACGGACAACACTGATGATAAAAAACATACCAAACAAGTAAGTTCTCTTTCATTTTTACGAGGTTGAACTTTTCTGATCTGCTACTGAGTGTCTAGGTACACGTCGAAGATGCTGTTGTCAACAATTGACGAACATCATCGCGGTACCTATGATTTCATCTACTTACCTATTGATTTTAAGGTAATCGTATAACGAGAAATCCTTACATTCTTGCTGATTGTTGGTTCTCCTTTCAGAATAAGTGTAACGTGGGGTATGCTTTCATCAACATGATTGCACCTGTGCATATCGTCCCTTTCTTCAAGGTTTGACACCGTTGTTTTCTTCGTGCGCATTCTCATTCTCGATCTTACAGACCTTCAATGGAAAGAAGTGGGAGAAATTCAACAGCGAGAAGGTTGCTTCTCTGGCTTACGCTCGAATACAAGGCAAGGTTGCCCTCGTCGCACATTTCCAAAACTCAAGCCTCATGAACGAAGACAAGAGATGCCGTCCAATTCTGTTTCGTTCGGAAGGTCCCAACCTGGGCGATCCTGTAAGCAATACTGCGGAGACTTTTGTACATTCTAACTTTCTTTTTTGGATCTTGGCAGGAGCCATTCCCCGTTGGGTCTAACGTCAGAACTCGTCCGGGAAAAGAACGAAATGGCCTCTGCCATTTTGAAACCTCTAGCAGCAGCAGCTGCTCCAGCAAAGACGACGAGAATGACAACGGTGGCCAGAGTTCTTCGGACGTTGAGAAGGATTGAAATCAACACGACGAGGCAGGCAAGCGAGAAGCTGAGGTGGGAGGGAGTGTTTTTTTGGTGCAAGGTGTACATTTTTCTCGGGAGTATTTCGGTTTTGGAATAATTTTGGTGGTGCAGCGGCAGAAAGACAAGACACGACTGGTGCTGTATTATAGATCACATGACAGACAAATTGCTAACAGGCAGAGTGTATCGGCTGGATGGTTTTTTGCCAGTGCTTTCCTTTGACGTTGGGAAGGTTTTTTTTTCATACCAACGAAGACAGCTCAATGAAGAAAGCGGTGGGTAACTTGTATAAATCAAACAGAACCATAGAGTGGGATAAAAAAAGAAATCTGATTTTTGTAAGTTTTGTTTTCACAGTTAAAAGTGTATAATCTAAAATAACATCAATAACATACATAAAATAAATTATAGAAGTGTGAGATTAATGTTTTTGCCTTTAGGATATAAAATAGAATTTAATCCTATTTAATATAATATTCTTATTTTATTTATGATAAATTATTTATTTCTAAATTTGACATTAATAACATTATAATGAAGATTATTCTTGATTTCCTTTGAACTTGAACTCAAACATTAATTTTAAAATAAATATTAACAATTTATTTTTATTTTCCTCTTTATAGTGAATTAAGATTTTTATATCAAAAAATTCTTCAACAACTTTCAGTAGAGTATTCTAGATATTTCTATTCGCATATATCTAAAGTTTTTAAAAATTATATACTTAAAATTAATTTATGAGTGAGGCAAGCAACAATTGAAATCTATTTAGTAAAAATAAATATTTTATAAGCTACACAAATTTGGGATTTTTTAACCAATTTATAAAAATAAGGATCAAGGTTAAAAATATTAAATATTAAAAATATTACACTATAAAAAATAAAATTGTTATACCACTTTAATTTAGTTACAACTTTTCAAATATTAAACCCTACCCCCTAGAAGTTTTAAATTAGACGGTGTGATGGAGCACCACGTGCCAAGCCCCCGATTGACGGCCGTCAGTGAAGGGCAACGGACTAGTGGGATCTTACGGCCTGCAACGAAGCGCGAGCCCTAAGGCGCACAGGCCGGGAGACGCGAGCGCGATCCACCAGGTAGGCCGATATTTCCAATCTTTCCTCCCGGAAAATCCCTCGCCGCCGCGCGGCGCTCTAGCTGAGATCCTTCCTCCTGGCCGTGGCAGGGGTGAGCATGGATCAGAGCTCGCAGAACGAATCGCAGTACGCCGGGCAGGGAATGGCGGCCGCTGGGGCTCCTCCGGGCATGGCGCTAGGTCAGATCGCGGCGGGGCAGCCAGCGGGGGGATTCCCAGCGCCGGGGATGAGCTACCAGCATTTGCAGCAGCAGCAGCAGCGGCAGATGCAAGAGTTTTGGATGGGGCAGATGCAAGAGGTCCAGGAGGTGATGGATTTCAAGACGCACAGCCTGCCCCTGGCGCGCATCAAGAAGATCATGAAGGCGGACGAGGACGTGAGGATGATCTCGGGCGAGGCGCCCGTGCTCTTCGCCAAGGCGTGCGAGATGTTCATCCTGGAGCTGACGCTGCGCGCGTGGATGCACACCGAGGAGAACAAGCGGCGGACGCTCCAGAAGAACGACATCGCGGCGGCGGTCACTCGCACGGACATCTTCGATTTCCTGGTGGACATCGTGCCGCGCGAGGATGTCAAGGACGAGGCGCTGGGTGTCTCGCGATCAGCGCTGCCGATCGGAGCTCCGGACATGCAGTACTACATGATTCCTGGGCAGACTCCTCCGGGGGTGATTGGAAGGCCGGCCATTCCAATGGATCCAGCGCTCTACGCGCAGCAGCAGCGGCCGCCAATGCAGTACATGGCGTCGCCGCAGCAGCAGCAGCAGCAGCAGTGGCAGCCGGATCAACAGGCCCAAGCCCAGCAATCGCAGGCTCAAGGCCAGCAATCCACGGCCTCGGATGGCGAGCAGTGAAGCGACTCCACACCATCCATGCCAAGTTCCAAGTTCTTCCAGGCGAGTGGTGATGGTGGTCCTCTCTCTTTTCTCGTGTTTTTGATCGACGTTCTTTCTTCCTTGCAGGTAGAGCGAGCGTCAAGTTCCAGAGAGTTGTAAGTTCTTTCGAGAGTCACAGGAGCTTGAGAAGAAGATCACAACGAAAAACTTCCATCTAGGATAGGAATAGATCTCTCAGGTTTGATCCAAAGTTCTAGCGTTTAGTTTGTTCGCTCTCACGAGGAGATAAAAGTTTGCTCCCGAGAATTTGGGGTTTTAGGGTTTATGGTACTTGGGGTAGGGTTTCGTCTTGGCGCAGCGAATCGAGCTCGTCCTGGCGCGCCTTCCCGGTGGTCAGGAATCGAAATGTCTCCTGGTACATTCTTCTCCACAGCTTGTTCGCGATCGGCCTCTGCGCCAAGCGAGAGGTTAGAAATCTCTCGAGAATTTCTCGATTTCCTACCTCGTTTGGGTGGATCATCGCGTGCGGGACTTCCAGCTCGCGGCGATATGTGTAATGCAGGTGTGGCACTCCATCTGGGACAGTAGCAACGGGAGAATTTTTCCGCAGTGTTGAAGATCAAAGCATCCTACCGGAGGAGATGGATTTTAGTCTTTGCGCGAATTTCTCCTGCGTTGGAAGGTCGGCCGAGTCTTCGTTTGCGGTGAAGAGTAGCAAGGTAGCGACTTTCTTTGCGAGGTTATCTATGTTGGATTGGCTGACGCGAGTCCCACACAGGTCGATTGCCACAAGGCATCCCACTGTGAACTGGAGCGACGGCTCCCATCCGGTTTCTTTCACGTCCAGCGGGCCGATCGCCAGAGCAAATTCTCTCCTCGCATCATCCATTGTCTGGCCAGAAAATCGATCGATCATTAGTAAGTTTGTTCTTTCTTCTTTTGTTTCGAAGCCTAAGTATCCTCCTACCTTGAGGAGCGGGGCGTACGCTACGACTTTCGAGATTGTGTCTGGATAAGTGTTGGCGAGATGCAACGCAGTGGCTCCTCCCATCGAGATGCCTATCGCGAAGATCGGGCCTGGCAGAGCACGCACTTCTTCTAGTCGCTGCTCGGCTTCCGTGAAGTAGTCCAAGTGGCTCGACTCGAAAAACCTGGCAGCCAAGTGGTTAGTTCATTTTGGAGGTGAAGAGCCGCGCTCACAGACCTCTGGAAATCCTGGCTACAGTCACCTTGGTCGAGGGCAGCGATCATATCAGACATTTCGGGGGAAAGCGAGCGAACTCGCTGCATGGTGTCTTCCGCCTGGGAGGACAATCACGAAGAACACAGGCCAGCAAACTGTCAGCAGGATGAAAACGTTATAGCAGAAGGCTTACAGAGATATATAGCTCCTTGGCCAGGACCGGATCCTTGAGGAAGTTTTGCCGGATCTTCTCTTTCAGTTCCGGCTTGAGATCGACCTGGGTGGAGATGAAAGTAAAGAGCGAACTTTAAGATGTGTCACCTGCGGCCAGTTTAGAGTCGGATTTCCGAGATAGTGGCGAGCAAGGCAAGGCTGGTAGACATTGAAGCCATTGTCAAACAGGTAGTCCGCGAGCAACTGGCACTGCTGTGGAGATTGCCCGAATCCGTGAAAGACGAGAGCGGTTCCATAGACGAGGTCTCCTGGCTCGTGCAGCGAGTAGCAAGGCTCGGCTGCGTCTCGTCTGTGGGGATTCGACTCGACGCTTTGGAGGAACTTGTCCATGGCTGTTTTGGCCTGGAATTCTCGCGGGAGGTGAGACTTTGAGGATTCTAAGAGTGTTGAGATTCTCACCTTGGCGATGTGATCTTTGGACAGGGTGTGACATCTTTGTATTTCAAGCTGATTTCGTGCTTCTGCGCCGCAAAACAAGGGGAAGAAGCGGGCTCGAGCTGCAACCGGCATGATTAAAGTGACACTTGGGGTATGGACAAACAGTTTCCTGTGCTGTGAAAGTGAGTTTGTGGGATTTCAACAGGCCAGCTGGATAGCATGTTCGGTTCTCAGGTACCAAGTACTACAAATATCCATGCATGAAAATGGTTACACATTGTTTAGGCTCTCATATTGTATATCTTGAGGGGCCTTGGAATATTCTCGGAATATAGGTTTACACAAATTTGAGAAAGCTTTATACATAGCCACCTTTTGTAAACTTTAAAATGAAAAGGGTATAAAATGGAGCCCTTGTTGGTTAGGGCTTACAGATGGGGCGATACGCGGAGAGGCCCTTTTGGAGGTGCGATGGCGACGGAGCCCCGGCGACGAGCAGCATGGTGGACGCCATTTGTGGGTACGTGAAGAGGTTCCTGGCGCTGGACGGCGATGCCAAAGCATGGGCGCTGGACGTGTACGCGCAGCGCGACGCCATGGCCGACTTCCTGTTCCAGGTGAACAAGCTGGAGCTGGAAGGCTTTGATACCCGGGATGAAACACTCCACGCCCTGGAGCAGCTCCAAGTGGACTTGGACGACAAAGTGGTGGCTCCGGACGAGAGATTGGAACAAGTCCGCTGCCTGTCCCGAGCATTCAACAAGACATGGTGGCTCCAGGATCAGGAGGAGGCTCCCAGCGTCAACAACTACAATCTCAGGCAGTCACACGAGCTGCTTATGGAGTCGGGCAGGCCGGACATCGCGGGCTTGTTTCGGTCTGGCAGCGAGGTTGCAATGACGATCACGAGCAGCGGAAGGCAGCACTTCTACGCGGATGCCTGGGCAATCCGGCCGAAGCTGTCCAAGTTGGTGAGCAAGACCAACGCGGATCTGCAGCGGCTCTTCAAGGAGGAGAGGACGACAATCAGCTGCAAGACGGTGGAGCAGCTCCTGGTGCTGGCCTCAGAATTCTTCTACAAGTTTGAGTGCGTCCATCCGTTTGTGGATGGGAATGGGCGATGCGGGAGGATGATGCTGGCCTACTTGCTTCGCAGCGTGGCTGTGTTCCCCAACGTCTTGTTCGCTGCTGCTGCTGGTGGCGCTGGCCGCCACCACGACTTTGTGAACCGGGATGTCTACCTCAAGTGCTTCGAGAGTGCTCGCGAGGACGACGACGATCCCAGGGACCCGACTGCTCTTATCATCGAGGGGGTCTACTTCGGTTGGCAGAGGTTCTTTGCGGCCCTTGAGTCGTGGCAGGACAGCAATGAGTAGCTACTCATTTGAGCTCAAAATTTTTACTGTAGGGAAAGAACAACAATAGGACGTTTGCCTGTCTTTGAGAGCGACGAGCTTTCAGATCAAATGCCGGTTTTCTCCATCATTTAAGCTTGCTTTGTGACTTCTCCGTCTGCCAATGTTGCAAGAAAAGTGATAAGGAAAATCTGTCTCTACATCGATCACCTGCTCCAAGTGGTGCCACGGAGCCAAGCCTGGCTCTCGGCATACCGAATCGTTTCCAGTGACCAGAAGGCTACTCCAAAGAAACTCGCCACAATTAGTGTGACCAATAAGAAGCTTTGTCATTGAAAATCCAAGAAATGAGTTTAAGCAGAGATTCTTGGGCCAGCCAACACAGTGCTCAGGGCCAGCGACCAGGGCTTGCCAAGCATGCTGCCAATACTACTTGATGAACATCAACCCCAAGTGGCTTAGAGTGTACCACTCAATGGGGAATAAGCATTGACAAATCTTAGCAAAGCTACAAAGCGGTCCAACACATGGGTGGACTAGGGAACTCAAGGTCACAGTTATTTTGAGTGCAAGATATATGAAAAGTTGCATCAAGAATGAACCACTCCTCTAACTTTACGTTGACAACCTTAGAGTTCCTATGTAATCAACTCTTGAGCATACTAGAACCAAGAGTATAAATTGCCCAGCAAACCCTGGGCAGTTGACAAAAGCAAATCTATCGTGCACTCATTGACACCAAGGTCAAATTTGCATCACAAGAGTCCCCAGACAACTTGCCAGTGGTGTGGCAATGGACTTTGGAGATCAAGGCTCAGAATTTTGCTTGTTGGGAGGAACACTATACATGAGAACAGCTCAACTGTGCTGCTTGACAGAAGCTAAAGTTCCAGACTCTCAAAGTCTTCACCCTTATAATGGTCATTTGGGGGGATCAACAATGGTGGTTTCTATTGGCCTGTCATTTTCAAGGCAATGCATGACTTGCCAACAGTTCAATCCTCAAAGCAACATTCTCCCTTTCAGTTCATTACCTTTTCAAAGTCCATTCTACACTTGCCCAATATCTCCAGCATCTTACACAGCCACTGTTACTTGTTGTTTGCAATGAATTTCTTCACTATGTAGGTGGAGGCTGTGGCTCTCAAGACAGCAGATTAGCATTTTACAGCAAAGATCTTGTATGATTCTATCATGTGTTAGTTTAGTATCCACACAACTTTAATCTACACAAGTGCCTATGCTTAAAACATTGTACCACTGTATCCTTTGTAAACATTTGGGAAATTTGTGCAAATGCCAAATATCATTTTAAAAATGATAGGTGGTAATCATTGTAAAGTGATTAAATTGATGGTACAAATCATTTGTATAATTAATAATTCGAGAATTAGCAACAAAAGTAAAACTATGCATCATGAATGTTATTATCAATTGAATGTGATTATTTAGTCTTGGCGATTGGTGTAAATGGTGAGTAGTAATTGGTATAATAGTTACAATGGCCTTTCTTCTTTGTAAAATTATTATTGGAACTCTTGGAGGTTGGAATTTTGTTGGATTAAAAAAAATGAGAACTACTTTAAGTAATAAAAGCAATGAGTTTAATCTTGAGTTTGAGATTTTACTACTAGTGTTCCTTTTCCTTGAGAGATTAACACATCTCTTTAGAAATAAGCTAACCTTATAAATTCTGGTTATGCAAAGAGTTTTATATTGCCCTATGTCAAATGAGTACTAACATTTGTTGATGTTTATAAAAGGTTATTTTGCATAATGGAAGTGCTTATCTGTATATATATATATATATGAAATTTAAATATATTATTACAATGAATCCTTAGAATTTTAGGGTATATAAAAGGCCACTAAAAACCATCACATTTTTCAATTAGCTTTTAAGGGAAGAGAAATAAATGGTATTGGCACAAATTCAATTCTTATTAATTCAATGCCCTTCAATGTGACAACAAAGAAACTACCAATCAGTGAGAAGAAGGTTAATATATTGCTCACCTAGACTTATACCCATCAAGGAGGGCAGCCCAATTTGCAAAATCTCTCAAAATCTCTCTTGTATAAATCTCCCTTGGGCAGTGCCATATCATACTGTACTCTGTGTACTCACGTTTTTATTTGGCCCGTAGGTGTTCGGCTAGTCATTTGTGATGATCAAGGCCAAAGTCATTCTGGCTATGATACTACAGCAGTTCTCTTTCCAGCTTTCACCAAACTACCGCCATAATCCTGCAATGAAGTTTGTAAAATGTGATGCATCTTCATAGCATTAAAAGTTTTAAAGTTATGTTCGTTGAAATAGTCCGAATTGAAAATACTCAGATAATCTTGATCATGAATAGCATGCTGTGAACGTCCTTGGATCCCACCAGGTTGAGGTTGCTTTTTATGCGGTGGATATTTTTCCCGGATGGCTGGCAAGATCGAGGCATGTATATGTCCTCCCTAACTGGGTTATGAAATGCTGGCCTCAATTCTTGTCAAAGTGTGTAACACTACAATGATCTATTGCAACATCATAATAGATTGCATTTTTTTTAAAGAAATATGAAGGATGTTTCTCTGCCAAGCCCTGCTGCGAGCTGCTCGGATAATACATATTTTGGCATAGCACCAAAATCTTTAATACATAGTTTGGCAAATGCCACACAGCCCTAAATGATGCTAAACGCCCCCATGACAGAACTGGATGGGCACGTCGAATAGATAACACCAATGCCTTTCATATATGAGCTGGGGCTTGCATATCCAAAGAACGAGACTATGTTGCCTGGTGCTGTTTCGAAGAAAGTGCCACTCGTCGAAGTACCAAATGGACCATATGGTTTGGTTGCACTGGTTCTCATGTTCTTGACATGCACAGTCAGCGAAACAACAGCTTCTCCCGCCCAACCAGCACCGCATGTTTTGTCTGTTCCAGTTGTACCCGATACCTTGTAAATGTACTCATCCGAGCTCAAAGAGATCTGCAGAAAGAAATTGAGAAAGTAAGAAAAACGTTAACTTAAAAAGACCTCGTAGAGTGTGCCTCTCAGACCAGCTTGCGGAGGTGGCCTTGGTAAACATTCTGAACAGGAGTTCGTTCCATACATTTGAGTCCAGGAAGAACCCGACGACTTCCACTGAATGGCATCAACCACACAACCGCTGATTATGCGTAGACCCTCCACTGGTGTACTCGTAAGACTTCCTTGCAAGGTGGAGGCGGTGGAGGAGGCGACGAACACCATGGGGCTTCTTTGCCACAGTTTCCCCATGAACAACAGGGGTATGCCTCCGGGCAGTCAGCGTCGGATGAACATGAACCAGGAGGAGGGGGTGATGCTGGTGCTGCGGAAACCAGCAAACACAATGCAAAGAATGCTAGAGCACGAAGAAGCATGATTCCAATGACTTCTCGATATTGGCAAGTCACAGCAATCCTTGCATACATTTATAGGCCTGTCAAGCATGTGAGAGAAAAACACGTGCTTTAAATATCAAGAGCGGCTGATTGGCTATCTCTGTCGTGAAAAACACGAGCTTTCGATCTCGTCCCACCATTTTAAAGCTCGGACCACCGAGGCAAAGCCATAGCATGGTTGTCCGAATTGTAAGTGAAGGACATCAACTACCACGACCAGCACGTGAATGGCAGAGCTAGTAAGTCGTCCACCTCTCAGCTTATGATACTTGATGTTCAATTGTAAAATAGTGTATGTACTAAACGAAAGTAGAGGCAGCGAGTTGGAAGTGAGTGTATCTAAAACAGAAGCAAAGCAAAGCATCAGTTTTCCTTTAGGTGGTTTCTTCTTGATCGATCGCAAGCTCTCAATCAAAACAGTGTGGTGCTTTTGTGTCACACACTCACAGCAAGGCCGTTGGCCATTTCCAAATGGTGCCAAGCTGAATCCATTGAGCTTTCCATTGCGAGTTTATTGTTTTGGTTCCATGCAGACTCAGGGGCTCATTGTGTCCCACCGGATGATCTGAGCTCTTAGCG